GATTCAATGATTCGACACAGAACCGCGAGTCAGAATTGCTCTTTAAAACCCCGTGAACAGTCAGCGCTGTATTTATCTCCGTCTTATCCGGCTTTCATGTTATGACAGCAAGCAAAAGCGTGCCGAAGATCCGCCAGGGTGCCTTAAGGCAGGTCACCTTTGCCTTCTCGTGGTTGTGAAGAAGACCTCTCGCTTCATGGCTCTGCGATTCCTCGCCATGCAGAGGCACCCGGTTACCCCGTTGTCTCAAACTTTTTAAATTCGAGCAGATTTGGCACCACTTTGTTGAGGTTGAACCTGCTACGACGCGAGCAACAATCACACATGCACGGTCGTCGTGAATGCCTGTCAAGGCAGAAGCTCGTCGGAACCAGACTTGAAAAGCATGTGCAGCGTGGAGGTCCTTCCAAAAAAGCGGGACGTGTTGAAGCTCGTGCTCCAGAATTTCCTCACATGCCAGCCGGCGCTGTGAACTACAATGGGGCAAGAGCAGTGAGACTGGAGGGCCAGTGGTGAGCGCTTCTTCGCACAGTGTGGACACCATGTGCCAGGAACAGAATCCCACTAATTCTAACAGGGAGCCATCGCATTTTTGCATTCCTTCTTGGCTGACTTCATGCTTCTGCACAAGATGTGAACACCTCAGGAGATCGAGAAAGTGCGCTGTCACTCAGACACAAAACTGCTTTATTGAATCGATGCCCGAGCCTTTTACCACTAGGTGGGAATAAGTTGGGACCCGGATGCCTGCAGTCTAGACAGCACGTCGTCAGCACGTTGGCCGCTCGGGGGAGGGGTGACACTCCACACTTGAATACGCTCCAGCGACGGCATTCTAAGACCGTGCCGACTTCCTTATGTTATGCTGTCCTAGGATGCGCAAAGTATTCAAGCCAGGAGCGGATCTTGTAGGTCAAGCAGGTGAATCTGAACTCAATGGGCGAGATCGCATCTGGTGCACGGCCATGCCGTTGAAGACAGGCCTCGGTTGCTATGCCTTCAAAAGGAAGCGTGGTACATAGGAAATTGCCTGCTGCCGAAAGTCAGCGCTTCTCAAAGCTGTGCATTACGAAGCATTCGCACCACATGCAGGCCCATGAACTCAAGACCACCGGCCAAGAAGCACCAAAGACCAAGCTCGGTAGAGGCCCTTCCGGCTTCTCTGGCTGCCTCCCAAGCAGCACAGGCGCGAGGCAAATCATTTACTGCGGTGAGCCTGGAGACTCAATCAGTGGAACTGCGCACATAACATGCTGCATCCTGAAGGTTCCGACTATAGCAAGTTGCACCGACACACTTTGTTCCGATCCACAGGTCGAAGATAGTTTACCGTCAGCCTTCAGGCGTGCCTACCCTACGACTCTAAAAGTGAATGGAAGCTGATCGAAGCATTCAGCCCTGAGAGTGCTTGTTGGTGTCAACTGCTCGGGAATGGCACCCGACGCCCTGCAGTCGAGCTTCTGGATATCCGCGGCTGCAGCCACAGCTTCGGCAGGCTCCTCCTACAAGTACAGTTGACACAAGCCTGACAGATTAATCTTCAACGAACTCTTTCTTGACCTACCTCTTTCCCAAAACACAACTGCTTCCATACACCCAATTTGAAATGCTTGCGAAGCACGGGCCGAACGCCACCTGCACAAGTCCGAGAAGACAAGCTCCAGAGCGACCACTCTACCACCTACGAAGCCTTGCAGAAAACCGACACTGGAGCCGTTGCGGTTGGTTTGAAGGGGAAGAGACCTTCCGGGTGACACGGGCTGGCTGCAGTTCTTTCCAACCCAGGTCCTCTTCCCTGATCTGTTCACCCTCGACCTCTTCCTCATCTTCGATAGGACGCGGAGCTTCAAGAGGCTTGCGCTCCTGGGATAAGCAGGGACAGGGCCAGGCCGAGGACGTATTCAGAAATTTCCCAGAGACGAGAAGCCGGCTTCAAGAGGCTGTGGAAAGCATTTGGCTTCTCCAGGAAGTTTAAGATCTGAAGGGCTTGCTCGGGCTCCTTCTGCAACCTGGGCTGTGAGGATTTAGGAGCTTGCGGAAAGGGGAATGCTATTCATAGTGTTGCTTCCAGGAATTCGTCTTCTATCTCAGGTTTTGCGGGCGATGCCAAGTTTTAAGCCGAGCACTGCCGGTGCTCATGATGCTACTTCAGACAGTGCTGAATCGGCTGTGTGGTCGGCGGCTGGTGAGCAACTGTGCATGCGGCCTGCAGAGCAACGGCAACTCCGCGAGGGCAGCGTCTGGAGTTCATGGTGCCGAGTTGCAGAACCACTTCGAGGAGAAGGAAACAGATCTTAATGGCTAGGAAATCATCGATGGGCTCGATGTTCCTTAGTTGCGACACAGCTTATTTGGAGCTGGGTGAGCCGAGCCTGTCAGCCTCCCCAGGTTTCTGCGTAACTTGGACTGCAAAACCATACTGCGAAGTGTTTGCACTTCGGGCGTCTACGGTGAATTACTCAATTATTAAGGCCCGCATTTTAGAGATGATGTCTTGCAGATTGCGTCTTGAAACTAGTGCAATGTCTACACAGGAAAATGACAAAATGCAATCGAAAAAACCGAGTGCATCTTGAGAGTGTAATGAACCTGAAGCAGAACATCCCCAAATTCTAACGCGAGCACGCGAAAAAGTTGGTGCTGCGAGAATGAACCCAAGGTGGGTGGCTCATATTCTATAACTATAACTCTATAACACTATAAAAGACGTACCTGTGGGGAGGGTCTGGAAACAATGCTGCCCGTCAACAAACATCAGCCCCTGCAACTGAATACATCATGTCAGGTGGGCTGGCATTCCGTGCTACACTCGTGTATCGCCCATGCAGAAAATGCAAGTGAATACTATATAGCTTCATTGCAGACATTGCTCCGAGCGGGAGATTTACGCTGGCCAACTCACCCCCAACTCCCCCCAGCCCGTTCACTGCGACCGTCCCGACACTAATCTTGCACTGTCATTTGGCACAAAGCCTTGGGTAGACGCCTCGGACGGTGCGGATAAGATCATCGCAATCCCTACCATTGATATAGTATGTTACAGCATGTTGGACAGGCTCGTCTCCATGTCAGACACAGACTTTACATATCCGCGGTCCAAGAAGCGTGTGAAAACTTCGGCTGGCTCTGTATGGCTACATTACATGCTGGTTCCAGGCCATCTTTCCGACAACGACAATTTTCAGATTTTGATTCGCAAGCCCAGGCACATGTAGCCGCACATCCACTGTAGGAAAAGGTGGCAAGCTGGGATGTTGATGAGAGAACATATCAGAAAGAAAGCAGAATCTTCAGTGGCAGTTGGGACCACGACAGGAACGAGATGATTCCAGCCACAGGGCATCGAGATGCAGCCAGGGATGCAGAAGCTGAGTCAGGGGCCTACGAACCAACGCTGAAAGAAGACGAAGCCAACCGTTCTGGATTTTCCGGGTTGATGGATTAAGCGACTCTCTCTGTGCGTACAGCCAGATAACCGCGAATGGGTACCAATCCCTCTCCCCTTACGACAGCTGCTGAGAGGATTTCGGGGGTGATATTGACAGAAGCTTGCATGATTGATCCTGGCCTGCTTTCTACATAGGTTCTGCGTGCTTCCCTCTATCAAGGACTGCAGACCGAAAGGCTGCTGTTGGCTCGGCACAGCTGTGCCTTCGGAAGACCGGTGAGTTGCTGTCCCTCCAAAACCAAGACCTTTCTGAAAACCAAAGGGCTCTTATGTTTGTCATCCGAATTTTCGCGACCTCCGGCTGAGCGCTTGTGCTTACTTGTTGGCCGAAAAGCGCTCAGCCCGAGGTCGCGAAAATTCGGGGATGAAACAGTTAACTAGATTCGGGAGTTCTCGCCTCCAGACCTTCCACCGCACCAGGCCAGATAAAACGTGAGAGCGATGAGGAGCTTAATTGGTTAGCGTGCCAGCACAACATGTGCAGCTTCTTATCGACAGCTTGGGCGCTACAATCCTAATGCGTGCTGAGGGAGGTCTGAGAGAAAAAACCCAGCACGAGCACAATGCGAGTACTTGTGCCGCGAGCAAGGGTCTCGAAGAGTTCCTCCAGAATTTGTCGTGCCTGGGACCGGAGCGATTCTTCCAACTCTGGAACCCCAGCCCTGGGCGAGACTCGAAGGCTCCCGGCCTGCACGTAGTGTCGCAGCTGAACACACAACAGCGCTTGGTTGTACCTGAGCACGTAGAGGTCGTCATCTTCCCGAATGCCATCCTGGTGTGCAGGACGATCGCCGGCCGGGTGGACTTGAGTCCGACCAACAAACTTATAAAGCAAACAGATCCAGATCCTACAAGTAGGAGGCAAGAGCTCTTGAGCATAAGCCCGCGTCCTCGTCATCCTCCTCTTTCTTCCGTTTGCCCTTGTCCTTCTTCTCCTTTTCCCTTGCCCGGTCATATGCCTGGGTCAGAAGAGTGAGCAGATTGAAGGGATCTGCGCAGCCTGCTTTGAAGTAGTCGTTAACGAGGATGTTGTGGGTCACCTTCACGTCTGCGGCCGTCTTCAAATTGTGGATCTGCTCCAAGTACTGTCCGCAAGTTTCGAACTCGCCCTTGGTGTAAGCCTCGAAAGCATCTCCGGCGCTGTTGATAGCGGACATTGCTGATGCGATGGGCACTCGGCACTAGGAAACCAGCATGAAACTACGTGCTGCATGGAAATGGCTCATGCAACCATAGCTTGTCAAGTCGTGAGATGCCGCTGCAAGCTTGCAGGCTGCACTGAGGGTGTCTTCTCTGCTGAAACCTTTGTGGCGGGAATGCACGGACGACATCAAGATGTCACGGGCACACGGGCAACAAAGCTTCCTGGCTGGCCACTGCATTCGAAGATGTTCGCAGTTCATTCCGTGTAGCTTACTGGTTTTGCCTGGAACCGGACCGCAGCATCCAGTCCGGCTATAGGCTAGACATGAATGCACATCTGCAAAGCAGCAGTAGATTCAGTAGACCTGCCTACAACAGCCAGCAAGCAAAGTGCAAAAAGGGTTCCGACGTCTTCATGACTGTCTGAGTGCGGACTTCTGTCTCCGGCCGCCTGGGAAAACAAATGACATGACTGAGCGTGCATGATGACAGCTTGCCGGGACGCCAGCCGACAGTCGGCTCAATAACCCCAGCGCACTATGGAGATAGAAAGTTCCGGCCGAAGCAGCCATTAGTATTAAGCCTGTGTCCCTCCACTTCCTTCTTCGCCTTCTTTCAGTCCAGGCTTTCTGATTTCTGAATGATAGCTACCTGTCTCACAGCATAACATGGCAGGTGGTGAAGGCCTCCCCAGTAACTTGTTGAAACTTCCGACCCAAAGTTGAAACTCCAAGCCAGGGAAAGCACAATCAGTGCAAAAAGAACACTGTCTTCCTGCGCACAGCTGAGGCCGTTGCCCGGCGAGTCTGCAAATGCAGTATGGATCGGACCTTGGCTGAAGAACTTGCCATCGGAAGAAATTCCTTGAGCTCGTGCTCGACCTGGCCCCGATCCGAGACCTCGGCTTGCTTTGGCCGATCAACGCCAAGTCTGCTGGGCGCAGGTTGTGGGCACCTGGAAGTGGAGGCACCGTCTCAATGACGGAATGATTCTGAGCTTGTGGGTCATCTGGGCCGCGAAGACGAAAGAAAGTAATTGTCTAGGACTAGGAAGGAAAGCATGTCATCGCCAGCTGTCTCGCCTGTTAATCTCACGGCAAGACCAGACCTAGCGAATCAAACAATAGTGGAAGCGAGCCGAAGAGTGAGGCGAGAGGTAACTAACTATCAATGCGAAGACTCGAATTCCACCGCGGGGGCTTAGCTTCAGAACAACTCTGGCTCCATGCCTTCCTGGCAATGAGCCGTTGAGTGGCTGTCTGCAAAAATCTCACCAAACCAACTCCAATGACAACAAACGGCATCAACTTCTTCGAGCATCCTCTGTGCGAGGTATCTTGCCTTGTTCCGTTTCTCTTTCGGTGGATGCATCCCTCAAACCGGCGTGGGATGCAATCAGAACGGATATCAGCAGGAATGCTGGATGCAGACCTCAACTAGTAACTAGGCTCTGGGCGGATGATGTTGATCCTTACCCGGAACTTCGCCTCGGCACCAGGCACATTGTCGATGCTATAAGAAGGCAAGCTTACATGCAAAATTGCATCTAGCCGAGGTTGCGACGGCTCGAGGGACAAGCTCGGCCCTTGAGGCAGAATGCTTGACAGCATGAAGAGTCGCCATGCTCGTGATTCGTCCACAAGACCGTGACGTTCAGTCACCGCTCAATGGTATATAACTAGGCGTTCAAACGGATTCTGAGCTCCTTGCATTTCGAGCAGGCACTGGCAGTCCTGCCAGAACGTTGCGGCTCTGAAGATGTGTTATACCTGACGTTTGGAATGCCCTTGAAAAGTGAAACTGAAAGCAGCATTGTTTAGTGGCGACGGTGCTCGTGCCTGAACCGACATGTTGTGACACACTGCTGAATCCTCAACAACTACCTACCCATCGGGTTTCAATTGGTGTAAAATGCCCGGCTCGCCGTGACAATCATGACAACAGTCGCCAGTCGAAAAAGCACGTAACTGCCGATCCGAATTTTCCGAAACCATTCGCTTCAAACATATCCATTTCTTGCTATCGCGACCTTGTGAGGACGGACCGATTCCCGATCTGCCTGAAGGCAGGCTGAAAACAAAGGAAACATCGAAGGGTGTGGGAGGGCGCCCAAATAAACAGCAAACACATGGCTACGCCTTGAATCAAAGATTGACAACCGGCATAATCAAACTCTGTCAATCGAAAAACCCGTCGTGTTGGGGAGGTGGCTGGTCGCGAGCTTCGCTCGAAGGTAGCCCGACACCGTAGTGCCGCGTCGAGAGGTAACCCAGAAGGGCCTGGTGGAGAAACCCAGCACAGACTCAGTGACGGTCATCCCAGATGCCAAGCCCAGCTCAAGCCCAGACTAGCGGCTAGCGGTTAGTTAGGACTATAGCGAAATCAGGGGGTAGGTGGGTGGGAGAAACGGATCTTGTCCTCGGAGTCCCGGAGGACACGGTAACCCCCTCGAGCCACAGCTCGGGCGGACCAAGATCAATCAAAAACCCTGCCTCCAGCAAACACTACAGTAGGTTGTTATTATCAGCACTTTGTGCAATGCATCACAAGTGTGATTCACGATGGCAGTCGCTGGCCAGAGGAACACATACATCCGCGAGTGCATCCTTCCGACAACCACGACGTCTTTCCGATCCGATGTTTCGGTTCCTTACAGAAAGATCGCGGACGCCATCGGACCGTAGCTGTCACTGAACTCGAAGTCTCGAGTAGAGCGCGCGGGTTTCGGCGCGTCAGCGAAACCGTATTTGGCTGCGAAGGTGATGTGGCCGACGATCTTTGCGGCCGCGCACCGTGAAGACCTGCATGTAAGATGCACTTAGGTCCAGCTGTCGGCGGAAACGGTGTCCCAGAGCGCCTGGGAAGCTGTCACACCAGGGTGTCGAGTTTGTTGTCGAATGGCGTGACGTCGTCGATGCTCGCAGTTGCCCTGAAACCGTTTCCGACAGATACCTGTCGGCACAGACCAAGTGCTTCTGCATGAAATGGGGGTGAAGAGCTCGACAGTCCAGTTCTTCCACTGTTCATCCAGACAAAGGCTACCACGCAGATGTCGCACGTTGTTAAGCTCCTCTAGCGGGGAAGTCTCGTAGTTGGATTGGGATCCCTCACAAAGGAAAGACCGCCACGAGTCATCCGGATTGGGAGCCGAGGAAGAAACAAGAAAAGACATCGAAGCTTGAGCCCAAATGGATCTACATGGCAATGCATCTGGTGCAGCAAGTCGCTGTCATTTTCACTTCGGACACAGCTATTTGACACAACAACCAAGGCTAATCACGCCAAGTAAAATCTTAGCTCTTGAACACCACACCCTTGCTCCTGCACTGCTGGTCACTGCTTCCCCCCTTCGGCGCTGGTGTGGAGCGAAGCTGATCAAGAGCCAATATGTGAAACTGCAGCGAGCAAATGTATCCAGTGCAGAAAGTCGGCACTCGCACTTCAGGTCGGCACGCGGGGTGGAAGCGCAAAGTCAACTCTAGGCACCCACACAAGCGGTTTGGACCTGGAGCTGGAGCCGGTAAAGGATAGTGACAGTGAGACGAGTGAGACCATGCAACAAGTCGCCCTGTAAAGAAGCTTGTGCCGCGTGGATGCTGTTTTGGCAGATTTTCCATTCTGGAAACTGCCAAGACTCAAGACCCGAAAGCCCTCAAGACAAGCTTCCGAAACCAAAACCCACCAAGAACAGCTTCACCCACTGCAAAGAAACTTGCCAAACAATCAATTGACCAAAACATGTCGGGCCAATTCAGAGCGCTCTCCAATTCAGAGTACTCTTTATTCGGGGATACATGTCGGAGAAGGGGGTCTGCTTGTACGGCGTTTAACTGTGCACCACAGTTCCCAAAGCCTTGAGATTCACTAAAGTCGCTGAGGCTGCAATGTCTCGAAGCTCTCTTCGAAGACTTCGACAGCTGCAGCTGCAAAAGCCTCGCCGGCTTTACCTGGCTTGCATGTCCACTGCTTCTTCTCTGCATGACAAGATTGAGCATATCGTGTAGGTAACCACATCGGTGCCCTCCTCCTTGAAGCAAACTCCACATGTCCACACTTGCTGCACAGGCACTTAGCAACTGAGACAACACTCAGACTCAGATCTAGACCAGAAGAAATCAGGCCTCCTGGGAAGGCGATGATAACACCTGGCAGCAGGGAGAAACCCGTCCATCGGCGCATGTTCGTCGGGCATCATAAAGCATCGGAACTCCTGGCTGGGCTGGGCCTGATATGGCCTGATACATCAACTCATCCTAATAATCCAAGCTTCGACAGTTACTTAGCCGGGGCGTGTTGCGATTGCGGCCATCCGCCTTCGAAGCGTCCTGAAAACTCATCCCGCAAGACCTTTCCGAAGCCTCAGCTGCTGCGCGAATGATTCTGAAACTGGCTTCGGCACCCGCAGCCATGTGCTTCCCTCCTGCAGTGCTGCAGTGCCCAAACTGCGATCTGGAAGCTTTGACCAACTTTCTCTGGTGGGTTGAAGAATACGCCACAGCCTGCGGCCGCTCTCTAGTCGGCTATGCAGAGCAGCAAGGTGGAGCGCTTGACTGCCACATGAGTTACCCATTCTTTGGAGGCGGTGCTGTCAAACCCGAATCGTGTACGGCTAACCAACCTGCATCGGGAACTACCAGAACGTTCGCATCGGCTCTTGATGATGCCGCTGCCATGACCGCCCGCCATTTATCGGCAAGCTGCTCGGCGTACCTGAAGCCAGAAGCTAGACATAGCTAGACTCTTAGAGCTCATCGTCCACATCCGATCGATGACAAATTGCCGGGGCCAAGATACTTCTCCTGGTCTGGATGCGCATCCACCGGGCTGTCCGACATCTTGGCATTGCAGTTTGGCATGGCCACGGACACCACCGCCTTTCACATGGCAGAACTCCAGAAACACAAGCGTGCATGTACTGTTTAATCAGCCTGTGTTGACCTGCGTTTGCACTGCTCGCTGAAAGAGGCTCAAAGCAAGTCATTCACTCTTTCTGGCAACACCGACACCTGGAATCTGAACTACAAGTCCTCGACAATCTCAGCATGTGAAGACGCCCACACCGTGGCCTGCCTCGAGGCAGACCGCCTTCTCCTGCAACAGCACTCTTAGCTTATTTGCTGCACCATCTTGGTAGAAAACTCAGCAGGGGAGGCAATGGCGATTGGCACAAGCCTTTGCGGCGATTGCCTGATTGCATACATACAAATATAATTATATACATATACATCAGAACTCCAGCTGCATCTATCTAATCAATCTATTCTTACTAGCTTTTGTGGTGATGACGGTCCTCCTGCTTGCACATGTTTACCGCATGTCTTGTCTTCACCGGACAAGCCGCTCAGCCTGGAATGCGTAGCCGTCGTTGGTCCCGCTGCGGAAGACCTCCACAGATGGCGAAAGAAGCGCTCCGTCGTCGGGAAGATGCGACACCCAATCCTTGCGGACGTGCATTGGGGTCAAGCAGCTAGGCAGCTAGGAAGTCTTGTCATGCTAGGAGCAGTTCCCTATATCCGATGCAATTTCCATGCTGAAACTACAGTGAGCCTCCCGTACGAGAACTTCTTCCAAGTCTCCTGACCGTCCTTGGGCCTCCTGGGCGGTTGAACCCACGGCGGTACCCTGCCAAGCAGAGATGACTTTTGGACGTGAAACTTTTCAAGGGAGCGCACTGCGCTGTGATGCCGCTTCCGCTTTCGACTACCGGGCAGCCGCAGGGCCGCAGGACTCGGCCTGATTTTTGCCTGCTCGGCCAACTCGATGCCTTTTGCCAAGGAGGCGTAAAGCGTGCTTTGAATGCCTCGGCGTCTACAAACCTCAACCGCCGCGTGATAAGCCTTCATGAGCCTCTCAAAACAAACGGAAAACATTCCGCAAGCCGCGCGATCGCATAACCGTCGCTAGAGCTGAGTCGACTACACATGGCTTCTTCCAGCGCATGGCGCCCGCCAGTTTGAAACCCTCCGCCAGCATGGTAGGCAGACGCTGCATTTACGGCCACCACTTTCTGACCACGCAGTGCTTCCTGCGCCGAAGCAAAGATCACTGCAAAGTCTATTTCTTGAAGCTAACGAGATTGACAACCGCGGGCACGTGAGACTCAGAACCCAGTCTGACGCTACGAACCAACTCGGTCTGCAACGCCTGCAAATATGGCATGTCCCTACACGATGGCTAAGACAAAGTGTTTCGGGTGAAGCCGGCCAGCATGGCAACCCAGCTCAAGGCAACTGACCGATGCAACAGTCACAATCCTCCACAGCCACGTCCAGGACAGTTCCTCGCTTGACGAGAAGTTTCGTCGTATGACTGCCTGATGCTCCAGGTTTCCTGGGATGGGATGCTACTCAGGAAAGATTAGCTCCACTCACTCGGCGCCGCTTGGACGGCACACCTCCCAAAAGTCTCGCGTGGCGCTGCAACAAAAATATCACCCAAACAGCTTGGCCGAACGACGGCCACACGGCGCTCGTAGACAAGCTTGGTGAGAAAAGCCTGAGTACTCAAAAAAGCAACAGCTCCCCCTACGGTAACGATAATTAAGGATGTCTCCCACATGTGGAGCCTGTCTTTCACGCTGCACGGATGTTGAGCAAAACACACGACAGTCACAAGATACATGGCCAACACCCCCTTCAAGGACAGGTGCAGACTACTGACTACTGTACCCAGGAGCTTTGTTCCAGCCACCAGCTCGTGTACGTGGCAAAGCGGAACGATCGTGCTTCCAAGCCTTGCATTCTGCTCCACGCTAAAATGACTGACACGTGGATCTGCCAGAAAGATTTTCGGGACTTCAGGACGCTGCACTTCACTTCTCCCCTTTAGTGCGTCGAGCTATGTTTTTTCTGGTCTGTGTTTGCCGAATGCTCTGCTTCTTCCAGCAGCATTGCGAAAGGCACGTGCCAACATCAGCCCTGCTCACTACTGCCCCTCTCCCGAAAGAACCCTAAAAGTCAGCATTGTCCGCATGTTCAACCGATGTCAACCGAGCAGCTGGAAACCTCCAGCTGCTGTAACTCTTGTTGTCAGTTCACCTGAGGCTTCGAAGGGTGTTGCTCTTCACGAGGAATGGTACTTGCATGCTCCAGCATCCATTTGGGGCTCCAGGCTTGCAGAAGTACCCTGCGCTTAGAGTTTCGTGCTAGTTATACCACGCCAGAGATGTTGCAATCCTGTGTTTTGCTTCGCGGAGCGCTGTTTTGTGTGTTTCAGGGCGGATTGACAATGGAGCTCTGCTCGTGTGCGATCCAAGCGCTTACCTGAAACTGCGAGCGGCTGCCAAGCCACTAATTTCTCGCCTCGCTGCCCGATCCTTTTCATCATTGGCCTTCCGGATCCAGTCGTAGCCACGCGAGTCCTCAGCAGGGGCACCTAGACCCGCCCCTGGCCCATCACAGAAGCGATACAAACTCCGCCCAGTGCTTGTGAACCGGCTACAAGGCTCAAGACTTCCTCGCCAATTGTGGTGTCTGGGGGGTGGGGGGTGGGGGCTTTGTGGGTATGCACACCTATCTCTCCATCGATCAACCAATCTTTACAAAAACGACCCAACCTGTCTAGCTGCTGGCTGGCTAGCTAGCTAGCTAGCTAGTTCCCTGCCTCCGTGTCGATCGATTTGTGTGTCTCTGTCTTTCTCTCCACACTTGCACACGTCCGGGAAGGCGTCCCAGGCCCCAGGCCCCTTGTTGGTGATCCAGGACACTTCTTGCCGAACCCTGCCCCGTACAACTGAAGCAAGTTGGGAAGTTCTCTCAAGACATTGACGGATGTTGCATGCTTGCCGTCTCCCGATTTAGAATAAGAAACCGAGTAGTCGGCCAAGGGAAGGCGCACCCCACCCTCTCGCCCGCTCGCACTGGTCTCAAGGTCTGTGGAGACACTGACATGAAGGAACGATGCCCCGGTCAGCACTGTTGTAGCCCCCAGCCCTTAACTTCCCAGCCCTTAACTTTAACCTATCACCCCGGCATCGTGCCTCGTCCCCAGATGTTCTGGCCTGACTTGCGCATCCTTCGTCAGCGCTGGTCTGTACTGCGCTGGGTTACATCGCCGAACAGCGGGGGGCTTTGAGGAAAAACATGCCTTCCTCACTACTTCGAGTGAATCATATGGTATCGAAAGGAACGAAGGTGAATTATGCGCTTCTAGGCTCATGTCACCGGCGGGATTTACCTTGGCGGTGTGGTGAAAAGAGCCCAGGATTGAAGGCCAAGGTCGGGCCGTGTTTGGAAAGAGGTTTGCCGCCTGAGTAGGGCTGGTTTCCCGCGCGATTCAAGATTTCACACCTAAGCCCAGCAACTTCGTAACTTTACAGGCATGGTGTAGAAAACATGCACAGGCTGTGATCTCTCACTGGCCTCTCCCGTCCTTTGAACAGCCTTTCCTCCCTCCATGCTGCAAGCTTTCACCTGCTCCTCAGGATTATGCCACAAGACCCCCATACATCCCCTGGCCCGAAGGCCTAACCTGCTCCATGGTCCGCAGCAGTTCGTTCCCTGAGGTGCCAAAGTACCCGAACCGCTTGCTTGCTTGCTACAGGGTGCGAGCACATGCAAGCATGCGCTCTGGCCCGAGGGGCTACCCCCCATGGCGCGCGTCTGTTCGGGTGGGTTGACAAGCACCTTCCCTCGAGTGTACCTTTGATCCCCCCAGCCCCCAAACCAACCGTGCCAAGACCATTACCTCAGCAACCGTCCACGTAGGGCTACAGTACGAGGGCCGACCTCCCCTTTCAGGAGTAAACAAAACAGATCAGCAGACGGCTACCACCGTAAGGATGATGCATTTGCTGTCGGCCCCCTCACTCGACAAGTTTTGGCAGAGGCCAGGCTTTCTGTACAACAAACCATCCGAGTGCCCCAATCGCCGAACCGCTCTTGCTTGCATTCGGACAAGGAAGGGTGCAACCCCACCCCCCGCGCCCGCTCTCTCGCTCTCTCTCTCTCTCTCTCTCTCTCTTGCTTGCTTGCTTGCTTGCTTGCCGGGCGTGTGGGGTGAGGGAAGCGAGCCCCCTCTCCCCTGCCCGCAAGCGCTACGCCTGAGTTCTGAGTTCGTGTCAGGTGAGTCGGCGTGAAACGTGTTAGAGATCCGCGACTCCCACTTCTGGCACCCCTGTTGGCCGTGTCCAAAGCCTTAGTCCCCGGTGTGGGAGTCTGGGATCACTTGCGGAAGAGCTCTGTGCCCCCCCACTTCTTTCGCCAGGGCTATGGTGAGAAGGATTTCCCCCCTCACCCAGCGCTTGTGCGCCCCCGTCTGTTGCGGGTCCCAAAATGTTGCAATCACGCACTCAAAGGCAAGTTTAGAAACCAAAAACGAAAGTGCAACACTCCGACACACAGGACACCAGTATACCAAAATCGCAGACAAGATAAGCTGATGCCTTTGCAGCGACATTGGTGAAGAAACTCACCAACTACGTACAGCAAATTACGTAACATGTAATCCAACCGGTAGGCAAGGGGTTGAGGAGAGAAGTTGAGGAAGGCTCCAGCGGCCTGTCAAGCTAAATTTGTCAGACTAGGGAACAGGAAGCGCTTCGAGCGCCTTGCAGAGCGATTGCGTATCGTGAGGCAGGCTTGAGGTGTCTGTTCGTATGGACAGAACATGCAATGCGGCAAGCTTTGATATGAGGCATAAACATCTTGTTGCGGCGATGCAAACCTCACTCTCAGAAGCACTTGCGGTGCACGATGGTCGGCCCACGCTCATCTTACACGCCCTTGGGGATCCACATCTGCTGGAAAGTGCTCAAGGAGGACAGAGAGTAGCTTCCAGTCCATTCGTTGTACTTACGCTCCTGGGGGGCCACCCCCTTGATCTTCATGGTGGAAGGCGCCGGGGCTGTCAGCTCCTTGGTCATGCGCTCACCGATGCTCTGAAAAATGGTGGTGCCACCAGATAGCATCGCGTTGGATTAAAGGTCCACGTCGCACTCCATGATGGACTGGAAAATCGTGTCATGAATGTCGCTGGCCTCCTGTGATGTGAAGCTGGGCTGGCACAATACTTCCGGGCAGCGGAAGCTCTCGGCGCCTGCGGTGATGATGCCGCCATCCGGCAGCTCGTACGGCTGTTCTTCCAGGTCCAGTCGGAGGATGGCGTGGGGCAGCGCATGGCCGTGGTAGATCGGCACAGTGTGCGAGACGCCGTCGCTAAAGACAAGTCCCCGTGCGAGCTGGATGGTGTGCAGGATCGTTGCGAAGCGCAAGGTCTGGAGTAGGTCCGCCGAATTTGGTGGGGTAGCTGTAGTCAAGCTCCCGAAGGGCGGGCAAATAGCCGCAGCGGTTCACGAGGTGGAACGTTGCACAACTAGCTCACCGACAAAAGCGAGGTGGACGATGCGAGCAGGGATCTTCCCCTCCTTGTTCCGCAATTGCGCGAAATTGCAAGGCAAGAAAAGAGCGCAGGCGCCCGGGTTGAGAGAGTGCAGCCTCAAGCAAGGAGAGTAAGAGAATCGGGCAGAGAGGCCACACTTCCCTTGCACCGCTCGCGGCTTGAGCCAAAATGGGAGACAAAACACCTTCGCCCAAATCTTTCTTTCTACATTTCTTGCCTTCGGTCGTTCTGTCATAGGAAAAGTACAAATAGGAAGATCAGGACAGATCAAGTTTTGAAAAATCATTCCTGAACAAGATAGAAGTCTGCAGGCTCAGCTTTCTTCTGACAGCGTGAGAGCCAAAACGCTAAATCAAACTAACTCAGGGCAACGAAACTCAGACAGATCGGAAAAAAAAGGATCGCAAAATCTTCTTCTACACAAGTGATAAAGTCAAGATCAACTCTTTTAAAGAATCGTGAAGCGTTACTAAACAGTATACTCAAAGTGAAGCAAGACTTGACGATCGATTACGTACTGTTTCTGGAAAAGAATAGCTTTCACAGCTGCCTCTCCATCCCCCATACCAGAGTGCGCACCTGGTCAGAATGAAGGTTCAGAAAGGCTTCGAAGCCCTTATCAGGGTATTCGAGCAGCAGGAGTGCTCCATCCCTTGTCGTGATGATCCTAGCATGAAGGCCTTGCCGATGATGCCCTGTCGACACAACTTCATCAATCCGTTCCTCGCGGAGACCGGCATAACTCCAGTATAACAGAACTGACCGTTGCCCAGATGAGTGAATTGTTCATCGATGCTTCTACCGGATGGGGGAGTCCTCAAGATTGCGTCTGCAATCGAGTTGGGAAGCGGCGTATAGCCTCGCCTCGCAAACCAACTCTCGATTGTCTCCGAAGCGGGAAACGGGAAGGCTTGATCTTCCTCGAACAGCGTCAAACGGATCACGTGCATTGAGGGCCTGGTACCCGTGAAGAAATCTCCGATGAACAGAGAATCCACAGCACTCTCGTACCACCGTGCAAGATCCGGAATTTCGATGTTGCAGAAGCGGCTGAACTCAGCAGGAACCAAGTACAGTAGACTCTTCGCTCAGGTTCTTTAGCAACAATCTCAATATAGCCGTGCTCCCGCATGCTCGCATCAGAGCCCTTTCTGACACTTTCTCTTGTCACGATAAGAGATCTCAGCTTCTCCAGAACAAGCTTTTCGCTTTGGCTCTCACGTTCACTGAGTTTTCGCCTTTCTTTTTCAAGGCCCACTAGTGCAAAAAACACCCGAGCGTCTCGTTTGCCCAAGGCTGCCTCACTGGCCTGAGTCTGAGTGAGAGCCCTCAAGTGATCATTCCAACCAGCCAGTGAAGTCTCCCGAACGCCTGCACAAGATGAGTGGCTCTCGGTGCGATCGTTGGAAAATACTCCGAATTCAGCACGAACACGGTGTCCATAGTGAGGTTCGAGTCCTTGCCGAGCGGGTGAATGACTTCATTCAGCCTGAGGATTGCAGAGTCGGCGAATTCGCTAGCCAATTGGGTCAGAAGGGCAAAGTCCATATCGGCTGTAGCAAATGCAACTTTCGCCTCGGGTCGCAGTCTCTTCAAGGCAATCAGAAAATCCAGCCCTTGTGACACGACATAAGGGTCTCCGTTGCGGGACAGGCCCCTTGAGCTGTCGAAGTACCCGACTGAAACTGCCCAATCAAACGCCTTGCTTCGCTGCGACCTCCGTTGTATCTGAATTGCATGCAAGTCGAGGATCCTGCTTGCTCAGCCATTCGGAGTCTCATTTTTGGTTTAGAAAGCGCAGCGTCAGCAGCAAGGGCATACAAGTGAAAGCCCTTGTCTCTAAGCGATGGTGAAACGCCCTCGAGGTAGCGTTCGGCAACGCCCAGTTCAACAACTTCAAGAGTGGATTCCTCTGCTCCGAGTATCACCGTCCTGCCTGAAAGGCGGTTTGCCACTGATTCGGCAAGTTCTTCCGATGCCCATGCTGAGGACTGCGATATTGAGAAAGAGGAAGGCGCTTTCTGAAGAGGATGCCGTCAGTCTTGGGCGCCGCCTTTTCCTGGTGATGTCTTTCTTTCTTTCGCCAGGGCTATGGTGCACGGGCTTTACCCCCTACACCGCGCGCACGTGCGCCCCCGACCGTTGCGGAGGAGGATTGGCGTGAAGCAAACTCACGGCAGTCAGGCGCCATAAGGGCTAACGGCTGCCCTCGGCAACTGGAATTCGACCAATGCAGGGGATACACCATCAATGTAGCAAGCCCCTCAGGTAAGGATAGACTCTCTCTCTCTCTCTCTCTCTCTGCCTCTCTAGCTCTAGGCTCTAGATATTTAGCTATCTCGCAAGTCACTATCTCGAAAAGTTTCGACTCTGTCTTAGAAAGGGCTTATCATTCGTCTATGTATATACACTTGTGTATGCACTCATACTACCGAAATTGACACCAGCTGGGTCTGGGTCCTGCGCAGTTCTGAAAGACACACTCAGTCATTCTTGAAGGTGCTCCACCAAGTTTGGAAATTGATGCAAACGACTATTGTCCGCGAGACACGGGCGCGCGCCCGCAGCTAGCAGGGTCGACTTGTGGCAGCGCACTCGGGGATCCACCTCGTCAAGCAGCATGGGACATGCATCGTGCCCTGTGGCTCGACATAGTAGCACTGAGTTGAATCGAGTACAATTACTCCGAACAAGTGGGGTAGCGGTGGAACCAGCTGACTGTCGGACTGCTGCTTGGTAACGTGCAGCTTCACAGCGTCGGGCTGTGCCTTCTGGGCGCCTACTTGCAAACTTTCCGCAACTGGTCACACTCATCCGCGCAAAGATATGCACCACCTCCTTCACCCCGAGCCCGGGCCGTGACAAGTCGCGCAGCCGGGTCTTGGTGTCTCTTCGGTTGTGGGCTCTGGCCCAAACCGCTCCGCCTCCCCTCCCTCCCGCTCCTCACTCTCAAAATCCAGATGAGGATGGTAAGACATGGAGGTGGGAAATCGAACGGCTGCAGAATCGAGTCGACAAGTCGATGTGGATTGGAGCTGCTCGGTCATGGCAGAACAGCAATGCAGCAATCGGCGCATGCATGGCAGTCATTCAAACCTTAACCGCCTTACGTAATCTCGTGGCAATATGATTGGAATAGGACTGGCTTCCAAAATGTGCACTCCGGACTGCCTTCCGCGGAACCGCCAGCCAGGTCAGTGCCCCCACCACCAGCACAGCCTGAACAGTGGAGAATGAGGTGGCTAAATGAGTCGACGTCGTGACCTAAAACCTCATCGTTGAGACCATGAAGGGTGTTCAACTTCCGGGATTCCGGCGACTGCCCTCTGCTTCGCAGCCGCCAGTCGCACCGCCTGCGGAACCGCCACTGCCTGCGGAATCCGGAACGAACCTGGAACGAAGAGAGAGCTTCCGGCTCCCCCTTCGTTTGGGCTAGCACTCTTACACCGCAGTTGCTCCTGCCTGTGTCAGCCTCCCCAGACACCAGGGCGGCGGCACGCTCCTTGAGCTGCCTGGAGGCTCTGGAGCATCCCATTACTTGTGGCATTCTCTCCGCGGCTCTGGGCAGCCGTGGCTTTAATGTCCGTGTGCTGTTCTACCGAGCTTTCCTACTAACATTCCTCCCGAACGTGCGCACATGTCATCTGTGTCATCTGCATGGCGAACATGCAGCGAAGCAAGAAAAAGGCCTGGCAGCAATGACGAGCAGCTGGTTTGTCTCAGCATCGGTCGGCTGCAGAACCTGAAGATAGCAACCAAGGCTTGAAACGCTATGAACGCTCCAACACAGAGCTTCTGCAAATGTTCACTGACAAGTCTTACAGTGTAGTCTTGTTCTTGCCATGGGGGACACACTCCGAGCCGGTCCTACGGCTTGGCATGACCTGGCATCTGAGGCACCTTCAGCTCCAGGACCTCCCGAGGACGATCAACAAATGACATAGGCTCTCCGGCACAGGCTTGTTAACAAGATATTAAACATTGATCTGCCGGAAGTCGGAAGGCAATCACATTCAGCCATCAGGCCGTCTCTATTGCTTGGGAAAGGACAGGCTGCACAAACCGGCTTTCTCCAAAGACAAGGGCTCCTGCTGCACTCGCCGCTGGCGGGCCAAAAGGCTTTTGGCCGTAAGCGCACGCTTCAACTGACTCTTGGCGCGGGCGGATGCCACCTGATTTTTGCTTGGCATGTAAGCCCGTTTCGGTCGCGAGTTACCATCACAGCAAGTGCAGGCATCAACACAACAGGACAAGAACGGAAAGAAAAAGCCATTCCGCCAACATCTCAACGGCCGAAACGGCACATCTTTCCTGTCCAACTTCATGGGGAACTGCAGAAGTACTGCACTGATACATTGGCTTGCCGGCCGTAACTTGCCGTGGCACAGAGTACGGGCGAGCCGACGCCACACGCTGCATGGTGCAACACACGGGAAATATTTGTCTGGAAAAGGTCTACGCATGTCTACGCATCTGAGGAAACGGTGAGGTCCTGTGCCTTCCCCGAGTTTTGGACTCGAAACATCCATGGCCGTTAACCTGCGAGGGCACTTGGCAACTCAGAAGCTTGAAGAGTGTTCATGTTCAGTCATGTTCTGTCACCTTTAGAGCCAGAAGTGGTGAAGCAGTTGTCTCGCCGGCTGTGGGCGACGCTCATGCTGTCCCACGATTCTAGTTACCTTCCAGCCAACGGGCTCAAGTTGCGATGGGCACAACACAACCATGGGATGCTGGATTTCGCTGAGCTTCAATCCTCGAATGCTTACTGGCATTTACTGGCTAGCTGCAGCGTTAAGAACCGCGTTGATCGGCAGGAGCAACACATCGTTAGGTAGGGGTTTCGAGCCACAGCTGTGCGTGGCCAAGCGAAGCATCACCCAGATGTATGGTCCGAGCATCTGTGGCTTGACGATGCTTGACGGCTATGAATGCCCCAATTACGGATCCTGGATCAGCAGCTACATCGGCCTGAGCCTTATCCTACTCAACTTCAGAACGGCTGCAGCCGGCTGATGCCACAAGTGACACACCCATAACTCGAGCACACAAGAGCGCAGGGGAAAACCATCAAAGAGGTTCCTGGGGCCTGGGGCCTGGGGTCCACCTGTGGTAAAGGTTATTCATGAGGCTTGCTCTTTTGCGCGTCTGGGCTTGGAACTTCTCATACGTCGAATATCTGAGTGATCCGTCTGCCACTTGCGATTAACTGCCCAACTCCATCTCTTGTAGGATCTGTCAACTGTGGCCAGGGCGCTGTCACTTTATCAGCCTGCTGCGCAGGTTGTGAGGGAGGTCGCGGAGGTCGCCCGACTTCATTTGACGTCGAAGCCTGCCCCAAGTGGTTTCTGCCTGCGCCTTTACTTCGATGAGGCCACGAGGATGACGCCCACCACGACACCAGCGAATGCCAACAGTGTGCATTTAAGGTTGTGCGCTGTGGATGCTTCTTTGAAGACACAGACGCCCCATAACAGGCTGACAGCCACCTCTCCACCACAGACAAGGCAATATGCCACTGCATATGGCATCTCCGCAAGGGCGTACAACTGTGCCATGCTAGCAATGGACCACATCATCCCATTGAGTAATGCAGGTCGCAGGACAGACTTCATCATTTTCTTACCCTGCAGCCTTCGCATGGCGCCACCAATAAACATGTAGGCAGTTGAAGCCATGAAAAGGCCAATGCTGATGGAAAGGAAATAATCAAAGGGCGAACATAAAGCACCCTGCGCTTTCATCCTGTGCCGCCAGGGTAGGATCGGTACATATATCACTGCAAAGGCAAGCCCTGCCAGTAGCGACCAGGCCAGACCGATAAACCAGCCTGCACCTGGGTGCAAGGATGGCTCGCACGGCTGGTCGCTGCGAGGAAAGAGCTAGCAAACAAAGATCGCTTCTGGAATAATTAAGCTGAGTGCACTGCGGGGCGCCAATATCGACAGCAATCACAACATCAAAAAGTGCCACAACAACTACTACAGTACCACACGGCACCCAGGCACGTCCAGACTGCTTGCGCGTCCCAGCAGGGGCCGGCGACAAAACATAACGCCTGCGAGTCACATCCATATCGCCAGAAGGGTCCTCCTCCTGACAGTCCAAGCGACGGTTCGCGAGCGATCAACGATTATTATTATACTCACAAATACACGCATGAGACAAAGTCCCCGCTGGGGCGGAATCTGGCCTGGGCATCATCCTCCAGCATGAGGTAGCCCCCCATGTCAGCATGGTGTGGAGGTATCAGATGTGGCCTCCTGTCCTGCACGGATCCCGAGGCACTCTTGACTAAAGTGTTAAACTTTTGAAAAGTCTCAAAGCCCCCTTTTATACCCCTTTGTTTCCTGGCAAAAGAGCTAGCAGGGTGTAGCTCAACAGGGACTTACGACGTCAATGCAATGTCTGTGCAGCGAGCCTTTGGTGGCGCCTGCGATGCAGGTGACACGGGAGGCAGCAGCTTGTCTTGACCTCCTTCCGACAGGATCTTGCAGTTACAAAGCGTGTAAGTTGAACCCGCGCTGGGCGGCCTTTGTCCTCGAGCTTCGTAAATGCCAATGGGATCATTGCTACCACCACGCACGCCTCTCCAATCTCACCCCCGCATTGCGACAGCAAGACAACACAAAAGACAGAGGGCTTTCAGTGCCTCTTGCACCACCTCGACTATCACCGCCAGCCAGCAAACACAACCTTCTCTTCTGCCCAGGTGCGCTTCCGGCGATGGCCTTCGCAGGACTTCGAGGTGGCTCCTGTGATCTTTCTGTGAGGCATTGTGAGGCACTCCATCTCAGGTCACCTTTCCAGCATGTGAAGCCTCTGCAAAGCACATCTCTGCAAAAATACTAATTTTCCAAACTGGAAACCGCTTGAGTTGTCTGTCGCGTGCAAACTTCTTCCACTTCAGCGGAGACACGGAGGGAAGGCCGAGCTGGCTGCCGCACAAGCCGAGAAACAGCCTGGAGTCTGGAAAGATGGCATCTAGCTTCAAACTTTAAACTCCAGACCCTGAGCATGTCGTTTGTGGCTTCCTCCGCACTGCGGTGTCGGGGTCTCGGGAGCTTCCCAAGAATCGAAACCAACAGGGCAAGATAGAGAGGCCACGAAACGACAACGTTTTGGACAAGATACGAACGTGCATCTGCCAGAAGGCTTACGAACCGAAAGATCAGACAAGCTGCGCACCACCCAAGTTGGTCACCTTCCTCGGGGGAGGCTTGCCAAGAGTTTCCAACAGAAGAGAAGTGGATGATGGCATCAGCTTACGATATTGAGTTTGCTAGCCAGGGCGGAAGCTTGCTTTTAGAAGCTTTGACATAGAGTGCATGTGAGTCCTGGGGTCTGTCGACTTTTCTGCATACCCTCCTACACTCCCAAGCTCAACGCCGAAGCCACGGGTCATAGACCAATCGCAACTCACGGGATTCCATACCATCTTCACACCGGGGCCCTGAAACTGCACGTCTAGACTCACTTATTCCCGTATCTCGCCGGAATATCTTTCCAAACGGCCAAGCATCTGTGTGGTGAAATAGTTGCTCATGCCGAAAGACTTCACTGACTGCGTTGCCAATACATTTGCGAGCCTCAGACATTTGGCTTTTGAGGCATGTTCTGAGGTAGGCCTCAATGCCAGCCTTCAAACTCCGGCCACACGGAATCAACCGTTCGGCAGCCTAGTTCAACTAAACAGCCCCGAAGCCAAGACAAGCCAGCTTCTAAGGCAGGGAAACCTGCCGCACTGCCCTTGCTTGAAGATTTCTGCTTCCGTCTAAGTCCTGGCTGCCCTGTCTTTACCTCGCTTCCCTCCCTGCACTTGCCTGGCCCGCACATGCCTCCTTCAAACGAGCCACACATTAGACAATATGCTTGACTCTCGACTCTACAAGTTCCCATCTTCGTTTACCTCGCAGAGTCTCTGCTTGCGAGAGTCTGAATGCTTGCGAGAGTCTGAAAGAAGAGGCCCGACAGCAGGCCCTCTTTGCAAACGTAGAAGCCCGGTGAACTGCGGCCGGCCTCAGTGCACGAGGTGTAGACTTTCAGGCGAAAGAGATCCGAGAGTCTGCTTTGGCTAAGGAGCCGCCTCCCAGTCGTTGCGGCAACATGCGTTGATCAGACCGGCTAGAAGTATGCCACAGCACTGAAACCACTGATAGACCAGGCCGTCATAGATCTCGTAGTTCTTCACAGGCACATACAATGAGCCGAAGCCCAAAGTGGCAACGAGGACGGCAACCCACGCTTGCAGCGAGTGGTCTGACATTGCGCTGGGTGGCAGCCCGACTCACCGGCGCTGGGAAGAAACTACAGTGTCCAACATGCAGCATGTGTCCGAAGCCTTTCAATACATGCAGCTTTATCTAGCTGAGCCCCTCTGATGCCTGGGCGTGCCAGTAGTTTCTCTGAAACCCTTCGAGAACATGTCCTAAGATGAAGATCCTACCAGAGTCGAGGGGCAGCGGCCACTGCCCACAAGCAAAACTTCTACAAACTTCCCTTACGAAACAAAGGTCCCAGACAACTTGTTCGTCCGGGGGCTCAAAGTGCTCATTCCTTTCAACAGGCATGCAACACCATCGGCACAGTTTGGAGTCTGCAGGCTACACCTTCTAACAGCCCCATGGTTGGCAGGACGGGGTTCTGCACGGCTTGCAGGTTCGATTTCAATTCACCAGGAACTCCTTGCTAGCATCTCGGCACCATCCGTGTCGTTCCGTTTTCGTCAGAACTCGTCATGCCCAGTGATGGATGACAGCCGCTTGAAAAGGATACCCAGTGGTTGGCCGGCTTCCTCGGCTGCAGCTTGCAATAAGCTTCGGCGGAGTGCTGATTAAAGTGCGACTTGCGTAGTTGTAGAGCTGTGCCCCAAAACATCAAACTGAGTGGTCTCTCTCTGGGCAAGATTTGCCGAGAAACCAGGCGACTGCGGAGTTTCCATGCCGCTATGAATGCATTCAGCTCTGCATGCACCGCCACGCCGCCAACCTTTCAACTCTCAGCACTTGCAAAGCCTTGCTCGGTCTATCTTGAAATAGAACTCATCCTCTCTGTCACTCTGAACACCGTCAAGGTCAAGTGCTCGAATCGGATTACATTCGCAGCGTCGAAGCATTTCGCGCTGGCCTCGAGCGATTTCAGGGCCTCGTACTTGATGTACCTGCAACTGCTGATCTCGATTTGGGGCTGTTTTGCAGAGAAGTCATTGCAGCAGCTGTGTGGCCGTGAAGCAGCCCCTCAACATGACTGTAAGTCTTCGTAGTTGGTAGTAGCTCGGTGTAGCCTACACTTCAAGTGGATAAAACAGCTGGACACAACATCTGGTTGTTGTAATAATCAAAAGAAACAGGAAGCGACTACAGTCGACTGTCTGTTAATTAAGGCTGGCATGCACTTACCGCAGGGCTCTGCTTCGTATGTCG